AGAGATCACTGGTACCAGAAAGGTGTATTTCACCAAGGATGTTTGAAGAATTGGAAGTGTTAAATAGGGGTTTCCTTCATCTGAGATGCTCACTTGGTGCAAGGGGCATCTCAATGTCCTCCTTAGAGGGGCAGAATCTTTGCTTTTCCAATTCTAGGGAAGGGCCCCTGGATGCCACTCTTCCATTAATTCTCACGTGGTCTCTTTGTGTTCCAGCCTGCCCTGCAGGGATGTTCAAGGCCAGCCAGGAAGCTGAAGGCTGCTCCCACTGCCCCTCCAACAGCCGCTCCCCTTCAGAGGCGTCTCCCATCTGCACCTGCCGGACGGGCTATTACCGAGCGGATTTTGACCCCCCAGAAGTGGCATGCACTAGTAAGTGTCCAGTAGGGGCTTTGGGCTGGGGAGTTTGGTTTTCCGACGATGCAAGTGGTGGGCCTGGGGCAGGAAGAGAAGACATCTTTCTTGGATTGCAGTGCAAAGCAGAAATGCTGGCCATGGTGCTGAAATAGACAGCTCCTGTGCTGTGGGTGCAGAGCCCTTCTCTGCTCAGTAGCACGAAGTCAAGATTATGTTCTTTCTTCCCCCCTCCTCCCACCTAGCAAGACAACTCCTGCCCATAAGACAGTGAAAATGCCAGCTTGGAGGGTTCTTTGAGTACAAAATCAAGACCCACTAGGTTATTTCAACAACTCCTAGTAACTCTTCCAAGTCGCCTCCTGCAAGAAGTCCTCCTGGTCTCAACATCTGCGAATACAGGAAGCCCATCTTCACTGGGATATGTTTCTCTGTGACCAGGCTCCCCTCAGAGCTCTCATCATTTTATTAATTGTCCAGTTATTCTGTACCTGTCTTACCTCAATTACCAAATGAAGGTGCTCGTGTGCCAACACCATATATTCATCTCCCTGTGTTCTTTCCAGTGTCCAGCATGGTGTAGCACACATGCCCCTGCCAGATGACAAAACCAGAGGCCTGACCACAGAATGCATCTCCAAGGCAGAAATTCTAGGTATTGGGCTAATGCATCAGCTATATCCACTCTCCCATTATCTGCTGTAGAGGGAAGGGCAGTCATCCTGCCAAAAATGGGGAAAGGCAGCTCCTCTCCCTGGGTAGAGTTGGGAGAGGGGAGAACTTCCTCCCAAACTTCTCCCCCATAATTATGGGAAGCAGGCATCACTACTTTCCCAGATTAGCACCTTAGAAAACTTGTTCCTGCTCACCTAAGCTTTGAAGCCCTGAAATAGAGGTGATCTTTCTTTTTTTCAGAATTCCCATTGTATTTGGAGGTCAATGCTACATGTTAGCATCTAATATGCAAAAACTTTCTTCTGCATTGGATGCTGCTACCTAGATTTCTGTAAGCAGGAACCTTCCCGTATACCTCCTTGGATCAAATTCCTCCCACCCACCCCCGCACAGAAGGGCACAGAGGGATGTTTCGCACATACTTGCAGTTTGATGGAAAGAAAAACTTCTGGCCTCCAAGGAAAGAATTTCTTAATTCTGGGCCTTGTAGTGTATGTAACCTTTGCTAGGTAAAGAGGAAGAATGAAAGTGTCTTCTGCATCAAGGTCCTGAGCTCAATCAATGCTTATAGATTTGAAGTGAGGAAAAGCACATCCCTTGTAAACTGATTTTCCCCAGACTTCTCTCTCTGGTGGGTTGATATTAACAGAAACTATTCCATTTCTGCTGACTAGAGCCCCCATCTTTCTGTTGTGGTGTCTCCTCCACTGATTTCTTAGGTTCCCTTGGGGTTTTCCATGACCCTGAAAAGCATTGTTTAATGTACTGCTTTAGAAGTCACTGGAGGAGACTGAATCACTGCTGCCTGGATGTCCAGACCAAGGCCCATTGCCCATGATTGCCAAAGCATATGTACAGTGCCTCACAGCTTCCCTCCTGAAGACATTTCCTTCCACTTCTGCTCATGAACCCTTTCACTGGCCAGACTCCCTCTGCACATCGGCTCACACAGGTGGAAGCCTGGGTCTCTCTGCTTCCTGCTTCAGCGGACACACCCTGTCAATTCATACAGTCCCTGGATAAGGTCACCTAGAGGAAAGGTAGGCCAATGACCAAATGCCCAGAATACTGATGGAGAGCTGTCCTTCTTGCTACAGCACCTCTCTCATCTCTCTCAAGGCTCATCTTTCAGCCATCGAACTGATGTACTTGAACCAAAAGGACTGATTCCTAGAAAAAACAGCCTCCAGTCTATACATGGTAGAC